TTTGAAAACAGTTTCTTAAAATTTTTCAAGTTGATTTTTTTGACTAAACAAAAGGTTGTTTGAGAAAATAACGGTTTCTTATGAAGTTTGACTTCAGTGAGTAGAGTAAGCTTACTTGATCAGGAAATAAAGTAGAAAATATTTTAGAATCTGATTGAAGATTACGATTTCGCGACCCCGATTACCTTCCATTAAGTCTTATAAAAAAATCATTTTTTTCTCAAAAACCCTTTCTTTAGTCAAAAAACCAAATTCAAAATTTTGAGAAACCGACTTCAGATTCGGATTCCCTGACCCCGATTACCTTCGGTTAAGCCTTATAAAAAATCATTATTTTCTCAAAAACTATCATTTTTACTGAAAAAATTATGGATGACATAACTACCACAGAAATCCAACCCTAACCGCAAACTCCCATACGGTTCTCGGTACTTCACTTGTACTTTGGTTGTCCTTCCCCTATACTTCTTGGTACTTCTATTGTACTTCCATCGTACTTTCTCGTACTTCCATGATACTTCCATGATACTTCCTCGTACTTCAAAAAACTTCGGAAGTAGATGAAGTCTTGCTATTTTCTCCTTGGTTACGAGCTATTATGGCAATGGTCTCCAAAAAACAAAAATATTCAACATTCATAGTTGCATCATTATTACCAACACACGACTCTTTATATTATCATTGTTTACGTGTATCGTGGCAAATTCGAATATGGTTACAACCGTCTGATGGTTACATTTAATATCCTAATTGAGAATATAGCGGGTTCCAAATGATTGATGGTCATCTAGAAGTTCAATGGTCGTTCAAACTTCAATTTCCTAATGATCGACAACTGCTTTACTGTGGAAAACACAAATGACAATGGCATAATTATGTGTCTGTGTTATAAATCAATTGCTCTCTATCATATTTTGTCAATGTTTGATTAATTATTGCTCAAATCGAAAATTGATTCAAAATGCCACGTATAATTCACAAACAATAATAGTGACTTCACTTTTTATTAATCTAACCATCAATATGTTGTTTCTCTTCTTGCCTTTGTGCTAATGGAAAACAACAAAAGAAAAAATTGATTTCTTTACGCGCAACTCGTCAATATTATTCGACCATGTGTACTCTACTGAAGAAGATAGTGATGAAACATTTACATCAACTCATTCACAAAATTTTCACGTTCCAGTTAAGACGTTTTCTTCTTCTATATCGGACTGTTTATACAGCAGAACGATAAAAATTTTTCCCTTTCTACCACGCATTGACCGCGTGATCACGGAGCCCTGTTTCTCTCAACCAGGTTTCGGTAAGTTCTTCTCATCATGAGTAGAAGACGTACTACGTCATCTAGTCATATTCATACCAATCAGAATCCATGTGTTAATTATCAAAATGATCCAAACATTCGGTCAACATCCGAAATATACAAACAAGCATATCAAAGTTTAATGAACATTGAATGTCATCATGTGGATACACATCAAAATACAATATCAATGAATTACCATCCGATTCCTCCTCCACATCGAAATAACTTAGAACCTGTTGATTCACCAGTGAATTCACCATTACGTCGACCTCACTCATCGTCTGAAAATGATGTTTCAGAATTAGAAGATTTTGAACATGATCCTAATACAAAAACGATTCAGAAGAATCGTAAAAAAACAAAAATTAATAATAATAATAATATCACCTTCAACAATTCGAATCGATCACATATCCCAGCATCAACTAACCAACCAACTCTTCAACAACAACACACAAATACAAGTGCAAGCATTGATTTAAATTTGTCAATAACAAATCAATAGCTTAATACGAATTCATCAACAATCATCAAGCTAACGGATGAAGCTAAATTGTTCGCTCAATCCCGTTATCCTTTTCCACCATTTATTATACGTTTTCCAACACCATATATTCATGAACAAAAAATTGTTGAAGAATTATGTAAATACCTTAAAGAAAATAAACAATTAGCATTAGAATTAAGTGATTATCGTAAAGCATCAGCCAAATGTTCATCCAATGAATGTGATTTATTATTATTTGTTAAGAACAGCTACTCATTCTCAATTCTTTATGATGAAAAAAATTGGCCACAATCTATTCTTGGCTTAACTTATACTCGACCATCTACTCCAACGATCCCACCTCAACTTTCCTTAATAATAAAAAATGTTAGTTTATCAATGGATTTTGCTGATTTTACCAATGAAATAAAAGCATCCTATTCCAATGTACGTAATGTTATCAGAATGAAGAACAAAAATCAATCGAATATTAAATTAGTTAAATTAGAATTCTCAGAACCAGGTCAACGTAATGAAATTCTCAATCGTGGAAAAATATTTGTTCATTTTCTTACGTACGACGTTGAGGAGTACCTGGCGCCTGCACGTGTTCTAATCTGCAGCAAGTGTATGGGCTTAGGGCACTTCCGAAAACAATGCAAACAAACACAAGATACATGCAAAAAAAGTGGTCAGACTTATGATGATATTAATAACCATACTTCAACATGCACTCAACTTCAGTGCATTCATTGTCAAGGTAACCACATGTCTAATGATATGCAATGCCCCAAAGTGAAACAATTTCGTGCCGACCTTACAAAATTCCTTTTATCTCCAGCTATTCAGGCCAATCATCAAGATAATTATTTGAATTTAAATTCAACCAACTTTCCACCATTAAACTCAGCACAAAGACATACGATTTTTAATCAGAATTCAAACTCCAATCACTGGTCGCCCAACACTGGTTCAAATAATCCAATAATTAATAAAATTGATACTTTAATTAACAGTATGAACCAAGTAAATGTCATGTTGGACAAAATGGTCAACAAAAATCATCAATTTGAACAATTTATGAAGGACAAAAAAATAAATGATGAAATTATCTCAAAAAAAGTCGACGAATTAATCAGTAATGATAACAGCATCAAGCAAAACGTGATACAACATGAAATCAAAATAACTCGTTATGAAAACATATTTATAAAATTAATATTCCCCATATTAGATGAAATTTCATTTTTCTTATCAAACATAAATGTTGGAAAACATAATGGAACATTAGATGCCGATTTTAAAGTCAAAATCAACTGAATGCGAGCTCAATTGAACAATGCTAAAACAGATAAAGACTTCTAATGTCATTTTCTGCCAACGCAATCCCTTTTTTCTTCTGTATGGATAGAAAATCTCTAACTAAACGAGATGATTTTTTATGTAATGCCCATTCTAATCTCTCTCATTTCGATTTTCTTTTGCTATGTGAAATTCTTTCTGAATGGGAAAGCTCTCCGTTACTGCATGATTGCTTTAAAAGTTGGCAATCATATTGTACCAATGATACCTCTTCTATATCAAACACCTTCCATATTCTATCTTTCAATGTTCGAGGTCTCAACCTAAGACATCAAGAAGTCTTACTCTTATCTAATTCTTTCAAATTTGACATTCTAATTTTGTTAGAAACTGGTTGGTTTGACCTACGTCATTGCACGGCAGTCTTTTCTGAATATAAAATCTTCTTCCAAAAAGGTGAGAACTCTCATGGTGGGGTTGTAATTCTAGTAAGAAATGACTTAAAAACAAATAGAATACATTGTGATTTACCTAACATCTGTATCCTGGATATTCTCGAATATTCTCCTCTTAAAATATTAGGTTTATATGCTCCAGATAGCAAGTCATGGACTTGGGAAGATTTATCACCTTTTGTAGCTTCTAACTGTGCTCTTTTTGGTGATTATAACATTGATCTGGATAAGGATAAAAGCAAAGTTGACCCCTTGATGAATTGGGCTGATTCTCATTTTCTTACACCAAATACTCCTTCCCAATCTACATCCATGAGATCTGACAGAATTATCGATTTTATCCTTTCCTCCGGCTTCTCTATTAGCTTACAAACATACGAAAGAGGTACTTCGAGTGACCATAAACCGGTTCTATCTATAATTCCATTAGAATGTAAGGAAACTTCCTTTGCTAGAAACATTCATTGGAATGTCTTCACAATGTTTTGCGAATATGTTTATCCTTTTTGGGAGAAA